ATTACAAAAATAAATCAAATCTGCTCTCTGCTTAAAAAAGGAAAATGCTGATTTCCTTTCTTTCTGTATAAAAGTACCTGAGCAATTCTCCCACGGTTTTCTTTAAAATCAAAGCCAGCTTTCTCTAGATCATGCAGCTGTTCTTGGAGTTTGTAGTTCACTGCTTTCAAAATTGGGTGCCTCGTGTTATGGGCTGAATTTATCCTGACATTGATTATGTTGGAGTGCTAATGCCCAGTACGTCAGAGTGTGACTATATTTGGAGATACCCGATCTGATAGATATCCTTATTAAGAAGAGAAAACCTGCACGCACAGGAAAGACACCAGCACACCCGTACACCAAGGAAAGACCCCGTGAAGAGGCAGCAAGAGGGCGGCCATCTGCAAGCCAAAGAGAGAGAGGCCTCAGAGGAAGCCCACCCTTGAGACATCTTGACTTTGCACTTCCTGCTTCCAGAACTGTGAGAAAGGAAATTTGCACTGTTTAAGCCTCCCAGGCTGTGGCATTTTCTTTTTCTTTTTTTAAAATTATTTATTTATTTATTTTTTTAACAAATAGTTTATTGTCAAATTGGTTTCCACCTAACACCCAGTGCTCATCCCCACAAGTGCCCTCCATGCCCCTTCTCCCTCCCCACCCCCTCACATCCATCAGTCCTCAGTTTTTGTCAGCATTCAAGAGTCTCTCATGGTTTGCCTCTCTCCCTTTCCCCCACCATTTCCCCCCTTCTTCTCCCCCTTGTTCCTCAGCTAAGTTCCTCCTAATCCTCCTATACGTGCAAACATATGGTATTTGTCCTTCTCTGCCTGACATATTTCGCTCAGCATAACACCCTCAAGGTCCATCCATGTTGCTACACATGGCCAGATTTCATTGTTTCTCATTGCCATGTAGTATTCCATGGTATAGATAAACCACATCTTCTTGATCCATGCGTCCATGGATGGACACTTAGGCTCTTTCCATGTTTTGGCTATTGTGGAGAGTGCTGCTATGAACATTGGGGTACATGTGCTCCTATGCATCAGCATTTCTGTATCCCTTGGGTAAATGCCTAGCAGTGCTATTGCTGGGTCCTAGGGGAGTTCTGTTGTTAGTTTCCTGAGGAACCTCCACACTGTTTTCCAGAGGGGCTGCCCCAGTTTACATTCCCACCAACAGTGCAGGAGGGTGCCCGTTTCTCCAGATCCTTGCCAGCATCTAGAGTTCTCTGATTTGCTCATTTCAGCCACTCTGACTGGCGTGAGGTGGTATCTCAGTGTGGTTTTGATTTGTATTTCCCTGATGAGGAGGGATGCTGAGCATCGTTTCATGTGTCTGTTGGCCATCTGGATGTCCTCTTTGGAGAAGTGTCTGTTCATATCTTCTGCCCATTTCTTCACTGGGTTGTTTGTTTTTCGGGTGTGGAGTTTGGGGAGTTCCTTATAGATTTTGGATATTAACCCTTTATCTGATATGTCATTTGCAACTATCTTTTCCCATTCCGTTGGTTGCCTATTAGTTTTGTGGGTTGTTTCCTTTGCTCTGCGGCTGTGGCATTTTCACTATAGCAGTCCCAGCAAACTCGCACACCTCCTCAAATGCTTTTCCAAATGCCATAAGGTAACATCTATAAAGTAAGTCATCTCTTTCTTAATTTTTCATGTTTAATTAATCAGGGGCGTAGCAAAACCCAGGGTTTAAATGTGCCACAAACCAGTCATTTGGTAGCAGACCACATGCAGCCTCCATGTCCCTCCTCCCCTGGTTTGGCTGCCCCCTGAATGGCCTGAGGTGTAGCTGCAGAAATCATATTCCTTTACCTTCAAGTACTTCATCTTTTTATGTAAGGATGTTCTCTTACATAATCAACAAATTCAGAAAATTTAACACTGACATAAGGCTGTTAGTACCTAATACACGGGCCACGTAAAAACTTTGCTAGTGATCCCAGTAATGTCCTTTCTGGCAATCTCTCCCTCTCCGCCCCACCTCCAGGACCACACATGACATTTAATTATCATGTCTTTTTAATCTCCTGTGACCTTTGTCTGCCATGACAGCTACATTTTTGAAGATGACACAGCAGGTGATTTGTAAATGTCCCTCAGTCTGGGTTTGTCTGATGATTAGATTCAGGTTAGGCCTTTTTAGCATAATTGGAACCTCAGACATGCAGAGGCTCTTCGTGCCACAAAGCACAAGATGCATCACACCCTTCCATTGCTTTAAAAGCACAAAGCCCAAGGGGCGCCTGGGTGGCTTAGTCGGTTGAGCGTCCGACTTTCGCTTAGGTCATGATCTCGCAGTTCGTGGGTTCGAGCCCCGCATCGGGCTCTGTGCTGACGGCCAGCTCGGAGCCTGGAGCCTGTTTCAGAGTCTGTGTCTCCCTCTGTGTCTCCCTCTCTCTCTGACCGTCCCCTGCTCACGCTGTCTCTATCTCCCCTAGAAATAAATAAAACGTTAAAAAAAATTAAAAAAAAAAAGCACAAAGCCCACTTACATGCTAAGAGGAACACATTTGATGCATAAATTCACTTTGAGGTGTTAGTGATGAAAACAATCTCCCCGAGGCAATAAACCTGCTAGGCATCCCTGTATTTTTAAAGAAACATTTATTAGACAAAAGGATGCAAATTTTTTTTAAGTCGTGAAGGCCTACGTTTTAAATTACAGGTGTAAGCTACTTTTCATACAGGCAACTCTATGCATGTTCAAGGGGTAGGAATGTTACAATTATACCCAGAATTGTTCTGGAAAAAGTCCTCGCTATGAAAAATTACGGGGCAACCTGCTTTCTCTAACAGATGCAGTGACCGAGGCATTGAAGCTGTGACACCTCAGTTTGTCTTAGGTTTCCTGAGGTTTATAGGTGTCCCAGCAATGTCTCCATGGACTAGATTTCAGTGCAGTTGAGTTTTGGATTGCAACAGTTTCTTTTTTTTTTTTTATTTTTAAAAAAATGTTTTATTTGTTTCTGAGAGAGAGAGAGAGAGGCAGCATGAGCAGGGGAAGGTCAGAGAGAGAGGGAGATACAGAATCCAAAACAGGCTCCAGGCTCTAAGCTGTAGAGTCTGATGCGGGACTCGAACCCATGAATCGTGAGATCATGACCTGAGCCAAAGTTGGACGCTTAACCAACTGAGCTACCCAGGTGCCCCTGGTTGGCAACAGTTTTAATGTTTGGGGGGAGAGAAAGCCCAGTCTAAGAAGGCTTCTTTGGGCAGCTGGCAGCCCTGTGAGCCATGGGGTGCCTCGGGAACGGGAGTGGGGAGCCGGGAGCGCGCTGTGATAGAGCGCTGAAATAGAGGATCCAGAAAGGGAGGTAAGATTCAAACACAAATGTTTACCTGTCTTCAGGTTTGCCCCAGGTTGGCCGTTTTCTGGTTATGCCCCATGAATCAAAAAAGAAAGCAAATGAGAGAGCAAGTTTATTACAAAATACAGAGTTTCTTAGGATTTCAAATACAGTTATTTGTTTAATTTTTTTTAAATTTTATTTATTTTTGAAAGAGAGACGGCATGAGCAGGGGAGGGAGAGAGAGACACACAGAATCTGAAGCAGGCTCCAGGCTCTGAGCTGTCAGCACTGAGCCTGACACGGGGCTTGGACCCACAAACTGTGAGATCAAGACCTGAGCTGAAGTCAGATGCTTAACGGATGGAGCCATCCAGGCACCCCTCAAATACAGGTTTTATGCAAGCTTGTCATTTTGAAGCAAGTATCTGTTCTTATAAGAAAATTTGCTAAGAAGTGAGTGAAGAAAATATTTTTATTCCTTTTTGTCTTTTCACCTAGCAAAGAGGAACAGCATGATGATTTTCTCTGTCTCTCCATTTCCCAGCCAACACTCCCAGCGACCTTATGTCGTTATGTTCCTTTTTTCCCTTTGTAAAAGCAGTGGCAGGGACAGCAACTTTTGCATGCCATTCTCGGGAGGAACGGGGATAAGCCCCTGACCACATAGGCAAAAGCCGGGTTCCGATGTTACAGGCAAGGTGAGTGGCGCAGACAGGAGGCAGTATTTCACAGAATGGCTCCAGTAATGCCCAAAGAATGAGATGGGTGGGATTTGTTAGCTTCTGTTGCACCCTCAGCTTCCTATAGTTGATGTAACTTATGTCTGTGGAGCTCTAGAGTTACAAGAACATCCAGGTAAACTTTGAAAAAAAATATTTAATTTATTTAAATCCAAGTTAGTTAACATATAGTGTAATAATGGTTTCAGGAGTAGAATTATGTTAGTAGATTTATTTAGTAGATTCATTACTTGCATGTAACGCCCAGTGCTCATCCCAACAAGTGCCCTCCTTAACGCCCATCACCCATTTAGCCCATCCCCCCCAACACCCCTCCAGCAACTCTCCGTTTGTTCTCTGTATTTGTCTCTTATGGTTTGCCTCCCTCTGTTCATCTGTTGTGTTTCTTAAATTCCACATATGAGTGAAATCATCCATGTACACTTTTAATCAGACTTTGAGCTTGGAACCCGATTGAAAGTTCTAGGGGAAATAAGTAATAAGTAATTTAAGCTAGTATCCATATGACGATAAGGTGAGAAACAGTGAGATACTTATCAAACTAATTTTAACTGGTTGCTTAAAAAGTCAACATTAAAGTAACTAGCTATTACAATTAAAAAGTAGCTTTTTAAGTTAGGTAATTTAGTTTATGATATCTTCAAGGTATTATCTTAGTCAGATGCCCCATAACTTTGTTTTGCTTTAATGATTATAATTCTTTTATTGTCGTCGTTAGAAAACTGAGTGGATCTTGAAAGTTCTCATCTTAAGAAAAAAAATTGTAACTGTGTATGGAATGGTTGTTAACTGGACTTATTGTGATCATTTTGCAATATATACAAATGTGGAATCATGATATTGTACATCTGAAATATATACGGTAAAAAAAAATATGGTAAAAAATAAATGAATAAATAGCCACTAGTCTATACCATTGCCAAACAGAGAATAAGAATAAAATTAAACTTTCAGTTTTCTATAATTTCCTTCACAGTTCACTTTATAAATGCACTGTGCTCTGTAAGTTCTCCTGTGAATAAAAAGGGTGTCATTAATGTCTTCCTTCGGTTTATATCAATTTGTTTAAATGCTTTCACTTTAATTTAGAAGAGACCAGCTGATTCTTCTGGCATCTCAGTCTGCACAGGAATTCTTGGAACTACCCATTTTAGGATTTTATTTGGATGAATATCCTGTGATCTTAAAAAAGTTGGGGATAAGAGTAATGTAGTTGTCACTCCTGTTTTGCAAACGAATAACCTCTAAGCCAATATCTCCCATGCAGCATGAAGAACGACTTCTAGTCCGTCGTGTTTAAGATATTTCATCTTTAAGTCCAGTCATTTTAGTTTGGAAAAAGAAAGCAGGAATCTTTTTATACTCTCTTTTGCATCAGCATGTTCGGGGCTTCTCTTTTCTCTCTGCTTTCCTCAGAGGAGCTTCCCCTCCACAGCCTTCTTCTGGGAAAATACCTGTAATGATGAGTAAGGCGACCATACGGCCAAAAAAACGGACGAAACTGAAAACGGCGGATACACTTCCGAGGAAAGAAAGGTCTGTTTGGAAACCTAATGTGGACTCTAGGCCCTCGTCGTGGAAAAGAATGAAAGGGACACTTGGGTGTCTTTGGCACGAGCTGGATCCTTGTCACCGGGTTCCTTATGGTGGGTGGAGGGGTGAGCGTAAAGATCTCACAGTCTGTAGGTCCTCCATTATCTTGTGAGCCTCCAAGAGGAGTGGCGACTGCCTTTTGTCCTGTGGGGAGAAGGGTACAAGTCAGGAAATGGGCCGATAACGGAAGCAGAAGGGAGATATTTCAGGTGGCGGCAGGGCAGAAGGATTGGGAGAGAGAAACAGAGAGATCTCCAAACTTGTTTGAAAAAAACTGCCAAGATCCAACAGAATGAAACATGAACACACTTCATGACCCAGCAGTCCTACTCTGGGGAATTTACCCAAGAGAAATGAGTGCATATGTCTTCAAAAGACTACTTCATGAATGTTCATAGAGGCCTTGTTCATACTCATATTATTACTGTTTTTTTAAAGCAGCCTCCACGTCCAACATGGGCCTTGAACTCATGACCCTGGGACTGAGAGTCAGATGCTCTTCCAACTGAGCCAGTCAGCTGCCCACCCCCCCTTCTTAGGCCTTATTCATAATAGCTTTTAAGCTTGGAAACAGTACAAGTGTCCATCAATAGGAGGGTGGTTAAACAAACCATGTGTATACAGTGAAAGGGAGCAAGAAAAAAGAAGACTTTTTTGTTATATATATATTCATGGGACGTGGAGACATCCCACAGTTATTACGCTGAGCAAAAGGAGTTAGACACAAAAGAGCCCATATTGTAAGATTCCACTGTATAAAGTTCAAGAACAAGGAGTTTTCATCTATGGTTAAAAAAATGTTTCAGTAATTAATTTAGGGTTAGGGTAGGTGTTATTTTGTGGAAACGGTAGAATTCTATATTTATTATTTATTATTATTTTTTTTTTAAAGTAGAATTCTTTTGATCTTGTTCCAAATGGTTGTTATGTGCTTATGGAGATACACACACACACACATTTATGTTTACAAGACATATATGTACATACATGTTTATATACATACAGACATACATATATGTGTATATGTAAAATGTGATCAGTCTGTACCTCCATCAACATTAAAATTAATGTTAAGAAAATTAATGTTAACTGGCTCCTCCCCTCCCCTGAAGGCTATTCATCCAGGAGATCTGCTTCACTTCTGCTAGCAGTGAACTCATTCCCTAAAGAGGAAGGCGGGAGGGCATCTACACACAGCAGGGGAGCAAGTACTAAGAACCAGGATGAAATTAGTTTCTGAGAAGAAATTTAGGTCAAGCTCAACTGTCAAGGTTTTCTCTACAGAGAAGACTCTTCTCTGTATCATCCAGTTGAATTGGCTATGAAAAAGTAAGCTTCTCTTCAGAAGATTATTCTCTCACTTTCTTAGAAACTTGTCAATACAGGTCTGGAAAGGGCTGCTAGGTGTAAATTGTGGAGAAACAAATTTCCCACAGGAAGTTGAAAGTACTGAGGCACTTGAAAAGAGCTGGATTCCGCTTACCTTTAGAACAACTGAATTCAAATTTCCTGGTTGTGTAGGGTACAGGTTGTGTACACCTATTGCTTGCCTGTGTTTATAGCCCCTTCTGGAGATTCTGTTTTACCCACAATCCCTGGAAAGGTCAGTCCTACATATCTTTGGCTATGCCTGTTTGACTGGCTGATAGACACTCAGCTCATTCATTGGCTGGTCAGTGACCAATCAGATTCTCATTTGAGGATTTAAACAAAGAGACACAGTTAGTGGAAGATGTTAGTGGAAGGTATAGGACAGGGATTGGTGTGTTAAGTTTTGTTTGGCCACTTGAATGATGAGTAAACAGAGAAGCCAGTCTTTCCACAGAAGATGTAAAGTGGTTAGAGAAAGAGATACAAGTGACCATGTGGTAACAGAGTGGGTGGTAAGAGTAGCCTTGGTTCTTGACTCTCTAGGGCTGATCCCTCTGAAGCCTGGCTATGTTTAAGGTTCTTGGAGATATTCTTATAATAATCACTCCTCCCACTCTTTTTAAAATTTTTAAAAAACGTGTATTTATTTTTGAGAGAGAGAGAGAGAGGCAGAGTGTGAGCAGGGGAGGGGTGGAGAGAGAAGGAGACACAGAATATGAAGTAGGCTCCAGGCTCTGAGCTGTCAGCACAAAGTCTGACCTGGGGCTCAAACTCATCAGGTGTGAGATCATGACTTGAGCTGAAGACAGATGCTCAACCAACTGAGCCCCCCAGGTGCCCTTTTTAAAGTTTATTTATTTTGAGAGAGAAGGAGGGAAAGCATGTGCATGTACTTGGGGGAGGGGGGGAAAGATAGAGAGAGACACTGAGAGAAAGAGAGAGAAAGTATCCTAAACAGAGCTGGATCTCATGATGGTTAGTTCATGACCTGAGCCAAAATCAAGAGTCAGATGCCCAACCAACTGAGTGAGGTGCCCCTACTCTACTCTTTTCTTAAGCTACCTTGAATGGGTATCTGCTCCTTGAATGAAACACTGACCGTTTCTTCCATTCCCACCCAGGCTACTGAGTATTGAAATCCTATGACTGAAACTAGATTAAGATGTTTCAAAACCACAAAAGATGTTTAAATCCCACATCACTCATTCTTTCCTCCTACACAATTAGATCAGTTCTGAATCTTTGTAACATGAAAGCTTTCTGCAGAGAATCCAGTCAGTAGTGGAGAAGCTAGCTTCCCCTTCCTCCTCCTCCTCCTCCTCCTCCTCCTTTTTCTTTCAAGATTTATTTTAGGAGCACCTGGGTGGTTCAGTCAGTTAAGCACCTGACTTTGGCTCAGGCATGATCTCAAGGTTTGTGGGTTTTAGCTCTGCATTGGTCTCTGTGCTGATAGCTCAGAGCCTAGAATCTGCTTCAGATTCTGTGTCTCCCTCTCTCTCCGTCTGTCCTCTGCTTAAGCTCTTATTCTCTCTCTCTCTCAAAAATAAAGATTAAAAAAACTTTTTTTAAATAATAAAGATTTATTTTATTTTTTGAGAGAGAGAGAGCACGCATGTACACACGTGAGCCAGGGAGAGGGGCAGAGGGAAAGAGAGAAAGAAACTTAAGCAGGCTCCACACTCAGTGCAGAAGCTGAGTCAGGGCTCTATCCCATGACCCTGGGATCATGACCTGAGCTAAAATCAAGGTCAGATGCTCAACTAACTGAGCCACCCAGGTGCCAGAAACTAGCTTTCCTCATAAGCTCCATCTTTACATTTTGTTATTAGACCAGACTTAGATAGGCCTGAGCTCTACCACTCAGTATGCTATATTCCAGCGTTAACAAGAAATCAACCACCCACCCCTGTGCTCATCTCATTTCTCAAACCTGAGATTATTCTCCAAACCCTCCTGCTGACTAGGGGCTGTTAGAGCCTGCTAGGCAACTTTTCTCTGATTCTGTGCTGTCCAGCTCTCTTCTGGGAATTTCCAAGGGCTCCAGATCAAGATACAAGCTTGTTCCAGTAACCAACCCAAGAATGTGGGCAGGACCATGTAAAACCACATTCTTCGGGCAAACTAGGCACATGATGACTATTTCAGGTCACTGGTTGACTAGCACAAGGGTCCCTATGGTTCTAAAATATGGGAAGCATAGGGATTGATTTGGGAAACTGTACAGGTTAACACCACACATTTGCGTGAGGAGATTGATGCCATTCACTGTCTCCAACTTTGGCTGAGCTAACACCAGCCTTTGACACTCTTCTGAAAGCCCCTTCAAAATTCTCATTCTTCGTCATTCATTTGAAGAATTCTCTTCAAAAGCCTCTCTACCTTTGTAAGTAGACTACTTAGCTGCATTTCAAAAAGAAAACTTCAGTGATCTGCCATGAACTTCTCTGGTTCCTGTTTCACTTCAAAGAGACATCTACACGGTTCCAACATGCACCCCACCCTGCCCTCCATATTTAATCTACTGGAACCTGACTGTGCTTTCTCTACTCCAGAAAAACTACTTTGGCAAAAGTCATTACTGGGCCTGGGCTTTTAACAAGCTGGTTCCAGATGCTTAAGCACCATTTCCTGTCCTCTTGGGCTGGCTTACTCCTACGCAGATTTCATGCCTCATTTCCTCAGGGAGGTCTTCCCTACCCTGGAGGCTGGCTTAAGACCCTTGGCACTATGCTTCCATACCACCCTGGGAGTCCACTTTCAGAATACTCATCAGTCATGTGATTACTATTCTGTGGTTATATTCCTCCTCCACTGGACCATCCACATGACCAACCTGTAGACCACATCTCCTCATCCCTAGCACAGTGCCTGCTGTGGAAATGAGTTGATTGAGAGAAATCTGTTTCTATAATTGCAAAAGTTACCATCTCCCCACCTCTCAGGGATAATGAAATCACCATACATAAATCTTTCTCAATATGCAACATACAGACATGCCACCAAAGGTACTGAATGTCAAAGATGAGAGCCCTTCTGTGACCTTAATCAGACCAGAGTAAGTCAAATGTTTAAATACGGATTGAAGGGTGCCTGGGTGGCTCAGTCGGTTACCCGTCTGACTCTTGGTTTAGGCTTAGGTCATGATCTCACAGTTCTTGGGTTCGAGTCCCTCATGGGTCTCTGTGTTGACAGCATGGAGCCTGCTTGGGATTCTGTGTCCCTCTCTCTCTGTTCACTCCCCTCTCAAAAATAAATAAATAAACATTAAAAATATAAATGTAGATTGAAAACATTGTACAAGGCAGAAGACCATAGTGTTTCAAAGCATAGACTCTAAAACTAGGCTCCCTGAGCCCTGCCGCTGAATAACTGTATGACCATTGACAGGTTCCTTAACTTTTTCTGAGTGTCCTTTTCCTTATAAAATGGAAAAAATAATTCTACCTATCTAATTGGCCTGTGGCATTATCTGAAATAAGAAATGTAAAGTGTTCAGAACATGTCTGACACACGGTCTGCATTTAGTTGGTGTTAGCTACAGTTATTATTAATCTTTTTTTTTTTTTACAAATACTTTATTGTCTACAGTTATTATTAATCTTGGATATCATGGAAGGATTCTATATCACAAGGCCCACTTTCTTGGGCTCATCTGGTTATACTTTATATATAAAATCTGTGTGCTACTGATAGGACTAAAGGGTACAGATGTTATTAGAATGGGACCTTGATGAAAACAAAGACTGTTGATTCTGTTGGTCATAGCTCTGTCCTTAGCACCTACAATATATCTGGCTTAGAGGGGGGCCCAGTACATAGTCGATAAATTGAATGAATTGTCAGACAGATGTTGAGGGTTTCTCTCTGTAGATTTTTATGAAGTTCGTATTTAATTTCAGTCCCAGAAAAAATTGCCATAATAACTCACATTTAAAATTAGAGTATAATAAAAAATCAAGCTAAAGTATCGCCTGAAGTTTGGATATCAATTTTGAGTGGGTTTATTATAGTCTAGACATGAAATTCATAGCATACCAACAACTAGTACTTTTTTTAAAAAGTAAGGATGAGAAGTCCTTTTTCTTAAAAAAAAAAAACAAAAAACCAACAAAACAATTACCTGTAGTCTGTGGTTATTTGGGCAGATAATAGCTGGTTTGTAATGAACTTTACTGATTTTTAAGAGAAGTAAACTTCATACATAATGTTTAAGTATGCAGTTCTTCCTTTATAAGACCCATGGAGTCATAGAAAAATTCTCATGTGCTTTCAGAGTTGAACTAGAAAGGAATATAAGTCCTTTGCTGATTTTACTCACAATAACCGCAACTCAGTTTATTTTGTAGACTCACAGAATGACTGGCTCTTTTGGAAAAATCTCAGAGTCTACAGGGAAAGAATTTGGAGCCCAGAAAGTGTCACAAAGGCCTATTTCAATTCTGTGCTATAAAGCCAGTCATTTCAACAGTGTGCAGGTTACTGTGTTAGGTGTTGTGACAAATGCAGAGATAATGAAGACACAGGGCCTGCACTGGAGAAGTGCGACAAATACGTGGGTCTGTACTACAGAGCGGAATGCGGTACATGCCATGGATAATGTACAAACTGCTATAAGAATTTAGAGATGTCAGAGAGAGAGAGCAATTTTTAAATTTTGTGTCTCTCTTTTAAAATTTATTTTTGAGAGAGAGAGAGCATGCATGCGAGCAGGGGAGGGGTAGAGAGAGAGCGAGAGTGAGAGCGAGAGCTAGAGCGAGAGTGAGAGAGAGAGAGAGAGAGAGAGAGAGAGAATCCCAAGCAGGCTCTGCACTGTCAGCATAGTACCTGATGTGGGGCTCGACTTCACGAACCATGAAATCATGACCTGAGCTGAAACCCAGAGTAGGACAATTAACCGACTGAGCCACCCCAGTGCCCCTTTAAATTATGCATCTTGAAAAAGCCTTTGTGGAGTAATACCATAGCTACATTTATATGGCATCATGCAATAAACAGGTGAGGGCAGGGTGGGTTTGGACACCCACACAGGGCAGAGCCATGGCATAGACAGGCAAGCGGCGGGCTGGAGCCAGGGCTGCGTGGATAGAGCGAAGCTGCATTTGAAGGACTTTTGATGCCAGTCTGAGGGAGAGTGGGTGGGGAAGCGTAAGTCAAATTCAGAAGTCAGATCTCACATTTTAATTGGTGCTTTTTGAAAAAATGTTTATTTAGTTTTTTGAGAGAGACACAGAGAGTGCGAGTGGGGGAGGAGCAGAGAGAGAGGGAGACACAGAATCCGAAGCAGGCTCCAGGGGCTCGAACCCATGAACTGTGAGATCATGACCTGAGCTGAAGTTGGCCGCTTAACCGACTGAGCCACCCAGGCGACCCTAATTGGTGCATTTTTAGATGTGAACACACCTAGAACCTCATTATAACTTGTTCAGCTATCTATTTACAAAGTTTCCTGAAGAGTAGTTCACTTTCTGTAAAGAAGATGTCAGGTAGGTGGCCAGTTCTGGTTTACGATGCCTCTTTTAGATGTCATATTCAACAGGTGGTACGTGGGGGTCTGGTCTTGGGAACGGGGCAGGTGTTATTTGTGATGACCCCTAGCCTTCTGATTGCCAGAATTCATGCAGGGGCTGGGCAAGTGATCTCCCGTGATCTCACCCCCAGCCCGGGGGTCTCTGCCCCTCTCCTCTGTATGTGAGCTTTGGGGGAAGGGAGATGACTGGGGTCTGGCTGAGCCCCTGCAGAGCTCTCAGGGAGGTCGGTTTGATTCTGGGTCTCGCCTCCCTGAACAGTATCTAGTTGTAGAACTAAGGTGACTTGTGAAACAACATTAGACCCAGGTTCCCCAGCATCTCCTTCTCTCCTTCCCCTTTCTCCTCTTTTCCCCTAGCCTTTTCTCTCTTTTCCCCAGGGGTTTGCAAACCAATTTTAAAGCTCAGGCCACCTGGGAAATCTTATAATGGGGGGAAAGGAAAGAGAATAGGAGCAGTGGAGAAGCAGAATGTAATATGATCCTAGAGAAAGCTATACCCACTTCGGTAGCACCGAGATGCAGCTGCCTTGATGTGATTAATTAAAGCAATTAAGAGACAGAGATTAAACAGCCACCATGTGCAAATTACTGTGCTGCTGGGGATAGCAAGAGGTGGACACTGCCATAATTCAGGGTGGAAACTGTTAGCTTTACAATACAACTAGTAATGTATAGCGTTTTGAGCTTGAAGAACTTTTTGGAACGAAAGCTCATTTTGTCCTTATAACCCCCACAAAAATAATTACTAATACTGTCACTTCAGATATGAGGAGACTGATGTTAAAAAGGCTAAGTATGTCTAAAGTCACATAGTTAGGGCTGAGACTAAGACCAAGGTCTTCAGATGATGACAACACTTAGCCTCTTTCTTCTTAACCACACAGGCTGATGGGAGCGGACAAAATTATTTCCAGTTCATGGATATGTATAGTTATGAAGCCAAATCTTGCCTTTTCACACAAGTTACCAATTAGGGACCCACAATAGAATAAGAACAAAACCCTTACCTTCCGCCACAGCTACCACCACCCAGCAGACCAATAGCCAGAAGGAGAAGCAGAGTTTGTGAGCCATGGCTTTCACCCTGAGCAGTCACTGCCCCGAACTCAGGTTGCTTTAAAGGGGAGCCGTTGAGTCACCGGCAGCATGATTCAGGTAATTTGCATTTGCTCAGTGGACCACAGGGATCAGGGCCTGTGGTGTGAGGGTAAGAAATCAGCAAGGAAATACCAGACAGTATTTATCAACCAGAAGCTTCTTGGAATGACAGCCAAACGGCATTCCTCTGTCCTTTGGAGTCAAATTGAGGACAACCACACCCTCACTAACCTTTTAATTCCCTCCAATTTCTCTGTCTTTTGTGCCCTCTCTTTGCTTGCTCTATGGGTCTCTCTGGGCAAGAGGAAGAATCTATTTAGTGAATACTCAGCAGTGCTTGCCTCTGCATGGTTAACTTACTTAAAAAAGCCAAACAAGATAGGGAAGGCATTGTCCAAAGTCTTCCTGACCCAGATGGCTTGAAGAGGCTGTTCACAGGCCTTGAGTCAGAGATTATGGCTCTTTCTTCTCTGCTTTTGTCCAGAAGCCAAGGGCGGCAGTGTCAGAAAACTGTCTCCTCCAGTAACCATCACAGTCACTGTCTACACAAACATGACTATTTTTTAAAATTTAATGTTTATTTATTTTGAGAGAGAGAAAGAGACACACATATAGAGAGAGAGAGACAGAGCATGAGCAGGCGAGGGACAGAGAGAGAAGGAGTCACAGAATCTGAAGCAGGCTCCAGACTCTGAGCTGTCAGCACAGAGCCTGATGCAGGGCTCGAACTCCCGAGCTGTGAGATCATGTCCTGAGCTGAAGTCAGATGCTCAACTGACCGAGCCACTCAGGCGCCCCCAAACATGGCTATTTTGGTAGATGAACTCAGTGCATTGTCCTTCCAGGGCTCCTTCTGATTCATTATATTATCCCTATGATGGACATAATACCTCTGTGCCTGGTTTGTTTCCTGAGAGAAGAGTTCTGTTTGTCTAGGAGGGATGGGAAGGGATGGGCACCATGAGTAAGAGCATGGTTCTTGAGCTGGGAAAACTGGCTTCAATCTTGATGCCGTCTTTTCCTATGTGGGTGGGTCCCTGAGACTCAGGAGCCGCGGGTGCCTCCTGTGTAAAATGGGCCTTGTCGTATATCCCTCAGAGTGGTGATGGATAGAAGCGGTAACTGACCTGAAGCTCTGACCACAGTGCCTGGCCCATGAAAGGGAGTCGTTAGGGTTGTTAGTAAATGATAATGACTCCAGTTTTTAATTTGTTCTCTTAGGAGCTAATAGTTGTCTACTCATTCAGTCACTCAACAGGCCTCCGCTCTGAGAACATTTTCCTGGGCATTGAAGAAAGAACAAAACAGAACACAGTCCCTGGCTTCCAAGGGCTAATAATCTATCTGGGGAGCTCATGCAAACTGAGGACCAAAGCTGAGGAAGAATGCAGATACTCACAAACTAGAAAATGGCAAATTCCACGGGCCTGATGAGGATCCTAGGCAAAATTCTAAGACAGATGATTAAATGGACAATTTGGAAAGGAAGCAGGTCATAGACACACTGATTGGGTAGCTCTCTCTCTATTGATCATGTATCATGTGGCAGACACTGGGTGTAGGTGCTGGGGCTAAACAGGGTTCTGCTCTCATGGAGCTTATGATCAGGCAGGGACATTAAATACTGAGGGATAACAATAAAGGGTTTTGAGTATTAAGAGAGAGGAAGTACTGGAGGCGATGAAGCAGAGAAATCTGTAATTTTACATCAGCGGGTTGGGTATTACATATACTGATGAGGGACTGAAGCAGAAAAATGTTCACCTTTAGCCCAGAAAGCTGACTGATAGCTTGCATTGTTCCGATAAGGATCAATGACTCATGACTGTTTGTAAATTTCCCTGATAGTTAATATCAAGCTGAATGATAAGCACCAGAGAAATCTTGTGAAAGTAGCTTTATGAGTAGAAATTCGAAGAAGACATTAATGGTCTTATACTCCCTACACGTCCCCTCCCCCTTGAGCACCAAGCAGCTTCACCCTTCTGCCCCGGGGTCCTCTCCCTGTGCTATAATAAAAGTACTCTTTGCACTGTAAAGATTTCAAGAAATCTTTCTTGACCATTCACTTGCAGCCCCACATCATATACTACTTTATCCCCTGCATTGAAGACACATTACCATGCCAATAAAATGAGATCCATGTAATCTCTAACTACTGCCCACTGTTCTTCTTTGTGGATTTACTTAAATTATTTAAGCAAACTTTTAGTTGATGGAGATTTGTATTATTTCTTCTGATTCTTTTCTCTGTTGGATTTCTGATGAGCTTTCAGTTTAAGTGTTGATGAAATAAATAACAAAAGCAAAATGGTGCAATTGTTTCTTCTGTTTGCATCTATTGTCCTGAGATTTATAAAGAGATGGAGCTTTAAAAGGAACAAAACGTTTTTTTCATGTATATAACAAACAAAACTTTGTTCTGCTGATAATGTAAAACAAAATGAAAGAGACGTGGTGTGAGAGAAGAAGCCAAAAGTAAATTTGTCTACCAAACAATCAACTGAGGTCTCAGGTAGTGCCCTACACTATAGATTATTATTCCCTTTGGGTGGGTTTCCTGCCCACCAGGAACACCCTGTAGAGAGGGTGACATTGGCTTTTGACTCTGCCCCTTTCTCTTTGAGAAGATATTAATTCCGAATGCATGGGATCTAACCACCAGACCCCAAATTTATTTTATATTTTCTGGGAGACTCAAAAGATATTTATGTAAATGGGGCTGAGCTCCCCGCCTACGTCGTCTGCCCTGGGGGTGGCACGGATCAGATTCTCCCATGTTCCTTTGAAAGTGTAAACCCGTGTGAAGAGAAAACAGGCAAAGAAGAGGAGTGGTACATGCTAGCACCCATGGCAAATAAGACTAAAAAACCCAAAAAAACTCAGGATGTATAAAGTGGGAATATTCTGAGACGGTGCCCTGCAAGGGAAGCTGCGCATGATGATGTTGATATGGAAACTGAAGAGCATCTGAAAGCAAACATGGGAAGTGAGCATTATCTGTCCTTTGAGCCTTGATGCCAGTGGGATCCGCAGGCAGGGCTGGTACTTCCTTTCCACCTTGAAGGCTTATCTCACATAGTTATCATGTCCGAGCTTTGTGACAGCTATTGTCTTTTCAATCTCCTCTCTTTCGAAGATCAAGAAAATGTTCTTAAAATGAAAATCTAATTATACCACTTTCTAAACATCCTTTCATGATACTCTGTTGCCTAAAAAACAAAATCCAAAGACTTTAGGTGAATATTCAACATTGTATTACTGATTTATTTTAATCAATGATTTTATTCCATCTCCCATCAATCTCTAACTTAGATCCCACTCCAGGCATAGCGCTCTGCTTCTAATTCTCAGCTCTGTCTTGCTCTTCCAAGGAAGTAAGCAATGAAAATATCTCTATAGGTTGGTGGTTCTCATCTGGAGGGGAGTTTGCTCCCCCCTCTCCCAGAGTACATTTGGAAATGTTTAGAGACATTTTTGTCACAGTCCCCCAGAACGAAGTAGTCTCTGGCCCCAAATGCCAATAATGCTGCTGTTAAAAAAATAAATAAATAACGTTTAGAGCCACCTCGTGTGGAAGTGTGCTGACTACTTCCTTGAGCCTTTCGACACTTGCCACAAAGGAGGAACACGTTTCAGGATAAAAAGAACACTGGAATGGAAACACAGATGTACTAAGAGGAAGACTTTCTGTCCACACCGGGTGATCAAATCAGTTGCAAAATCAGTCACACTCTTGTTAACCTGCAAAATCAATTTTCTCCCTTTGGTCAAAGCCAATTGGAGAACTAGAAAGGAGTATGTTCACAAGGAGCCAGGTAACACCCTCTCCTTGATACAACTAAGTTGCACTTGTGCTAAAGCGCATGCAGTTGAAGTAGGGTTGAAAAGTTTGGGCTCTGCCTTTCCTCACCAGTTTAATTTTTCAAACTTTTCTGCAGCCAATACTAAAACAGACATTCTTTAATGGATACCTAGAAAGATGGGGTAAGCCTACAGTCCTCTTGCTTAAAGACTACAACTACAAGGTCAGGAGGCCAAAACTAAGGACCTCAATGAGATCTCTAATAGTGCCCTATAGCTAATAGATTAAAAGGAACAGATTTTTAAAACTCTCATTGAATTCTTATTTCACATAAAATTCTAACTTACTTCTTCATTGGTGATGTATAGAGTTAGTAAGTTTGCCATATCTTACTTATTGGCATGCTATATATTGAGGGGAACCTAGTGTTCAATAATCAGAAAATCAGTGAAGCTGTTGTGAGATTAGATTAATTTGCAAAAAATCTTTATTTGCCTTAAAAAAGGAAATGTTTCTTTCTTTCTTTTTTTAGCAGGGGTAGGGATGCAGAAGGGTACAGGGAGAGAGAGAGAGAGAGAGAAAAAGAGAATCTTAAACAGACTCCACACCTAGTGCAGAGCCCAACCTGGGGTTTGATCTCATGACTGTGGGGTCATGACCTGAGCCAAAATCAAGAGTTGGACATTCAACCGACTGAGCCACCCAAGTGCCCCCAAAAAGGAAATATTTCTGGAAGCTTATTTCAAATGCAGTACTTTTGGTAATTATCTTAGCAGTCATATACATTAAAAATCCGTAAATGACCACTTTCTCATTTAGTTGAAGGCTAATCAGTGAGATTCTGATGTCCAATCTCAATGTCAAGAAAGCTATCATGAGGGGGCCTGGGTGGCTCAGTCAGTTGAGCATCTGACTTTGGCTCAGGTCATGATCTCACAGTTTGTGAGTTCGAGCCCCGTGTTGGGCTCTGTGCTGTCAGCTTGGAGCCTGGAGCCTGCTTTGGATTCTGTGTCCCCATCTCTCTCCGCCCCTACCCTGTTCATGCTCTGTCTCTCTCTGTCTCTCAAAAATAAATAAACTATAAAAAAAATTAAAAAAAAAAAAAAAAAGCTATCCTGGCTTTACATCACTCTTGTAGACCCACTTGCACCTAGGTATGTTTTTCGCTTGT